TATTAATAGCATTAAAGGATGTCAATTACAGCAATAAATATGAACGACATCTAAATAAACACGTCAGCAGCAAATATGCATGGGTGCAAATATATGAATGTCAGAACTCAATATGGCACAAACTGAAAAATAATGCCAGTCAAACAAAATGATTGTTCATTGTCCTCAGGGAGTGGAAGAAAACAAAGTTAAGCTTTTACTGTATGGGCTGCATCATTAAGTAGCCGACTGAAGTATATATGATTTTATTATAGCCTCCGATCATTTCACGGTGAGGGTGTCGAACGAATAGCAGAACACACTATTCTCATTAACACTGCTGGAGCATGCATCCACATGGAACTTAATGTCCATAACTCCATCACCCAGTAAACCAGGAAGTTGTCCTTACATGCCCACCAGCCCCACAGTATGAGGGGTGGAAGGAATTAAGTTAAGTGATGAAAATGGAGGTGATGAAAATGCATACGAATTTAGAATTGGAGTGATAACTTATCAAGTGATTTTATTAATTTAAAGCCAATTCCCCAACTAACACTTAGTCATTTTGGGCAGAAGTAAGAGAAATAGTTTGTTGTAAACGATGATTGTCAGTTGGACATGATGTGAATGATGAATGATAGACAGCAGAAAATAACACAGCCACAGCCCTGTTAATTACCAGAGCAACACTGTCTCCAATAAAATTAATCAAATCACTTGCTAATTTATCACTACTTTGCATTTCACGTCTATTTTTACTGCTTCATTTTTCGATTCACAGGCACTTTCATCACCTCCATTTTCCCCACTTAATTTTTGTTACCTCCACACCTCACACCCACTCCCCCCTTAGTTGGCGTCAATTATCACCTTGGCTCAAAGCAGTCGAACAGTAGTTAGTGGTGCAGCCGGTGCTTTACAGACTCTTTTCGTCAGAGTGTCGTAGTGGCTTCACGCTGAGGGAAAGGAATTTCCTTTTTGACATCATTTGGGGCAATTAAAAATTGTCAGTGAGTTAAAAATCATAATTTCATCAATATTTTTATTTATTAGAATTGAATTTGTCATTTGCTAATTTTTCAACTTTACTGACTTTAATAACAAATCATGTAATTTTAGGGTATTTTTGCATACATTTATTTTTGACCAGTATGTGTGACAAAATAATCTCAAAGGTTCATATTTTTCCAGAGCTTTTAACCGTATCTAATGGTTTATAGCTTAATTGGTTGCTGAACACCATGAGATGAGGCTGAAAGCTCTGTAACCTGTTACTTATTTTTCATGACATCTTACAAACTCAATTGATTTTCAACCCTTTGTTCTTCTTTTGACCATATAAGTTACAAGTATATTCACCTTCACATACAGTACAGTGTAAAATAATTTTTCTACATGAGAAATCAGTACTTTTTAGGTTCTCAATGGATCATAATTATCCATAATTATCCCATAAAAATATAGGATTTGGTGCTTTCATGCTCAAACATTCCTGGTGTAAATAAGCATTTATCAGTGTTAGAGGAGATAATTTAGATTTAGTTGTTATACAATTGCTCCTGTGAATGAATAATTTTTAGAGAGATAGGACGTTCAGATTTGTAATTTGAATTTTAGGTTTTGCAGCTTCTTTGTTTACGTTCAGTCCAGATTGGCCCTTTAATTGAGATAATGAGCTTCTGTATTTCATGGTCTATTTAAGCGATTACATAATGGAGTCGTTTCTTCTTTGCCTTGAGAGGAAGAGACATTCCTGGAGACTGAATAGTAGTACAAATTTCAGAGATTAACACATAGGTCACAGGAGGGAATTAAATGACAGCACTACTATCATGAGAAAACGATGTGATAACTAGAGGTCTATCTCGATTCTCATTAAGATAAACTGTGCCAAGATGCTGATCCATGACCATAAAATACAAACTCTTCTTATAATCATTTGTTTGTTACGTCTTGTCATTGATAAAGTTTTGAGTCGCAATTCAAAAAACCTCCACCCACACCACTCACTAAATCAACCCATCCTATTTCTTAACGTCTGTCACTGTTGCAAATGTGGCTCTGCACAGCTTTGTCTGATGTCTCCCAACAGGATGGATTGAACAGGTGCCTGAAAAACTTTCTCCAGCCAATTTATTCTCCCAGACATCTGCTCATTGGTGCAGCACTGCCAGTTTCTTCCAAGACACTTTGCAGATGAACAGAGCAGCTTGAATTTAGCCTGATAGCGTTCACAAATCCAGGTCAAGGAGGACGCAGGGAAGTAGAGTTGCACTGATGGACTAGATATAAAAAAAAAAAATGTGTGAAATTAACCCCTAAACTTCTGATTTTGAAAAATATGATTAAAGCTTTTGTGAGACATCACTTTTATATTCAGTTTCTGCTTTTTTCAACATGGCATTGAAGCTGTTTGATGCTCACGAAGACGAACACCATGATTTTTACTTTAACATCATATGGACATTTTCTGGACAAGGAAGTAATTTGTTATGAAGAAGTGATAGGTTTCATATATTTTGCCCAGATTTTCTTCTTGTCAAGTCTCCCAATTAGCTTTTCTGGCCTGCTAAAGGCTGTGATTATTGGAGTCTGTCTGGCCATGTGGAACTTCAGTCTCCAAGACGGACTCGGCTACAGGCATAGGCACGATGGAGGGCAAAGCCCCAAAATCAGGTCGCTGCCTCCTTCCGCAGGCAGAAAATCCAGTGCGTTCGTATTCTTCTTCTTTGGCAATTTCGGATGGCTCTGCCTGATGCATAGATTACAATACAGCACCACTACATTGCCGTAGAGGCGTACAGCCGCAATTGCAGTTACAAACATCAAATCCACCGAGTACCGAGAAAACAAGTAGGCCTACCAGAATTTTGTCGGGAGGCGGAGGTGGCACGAAATTTGATGGAGGCGGCTGCCTTGCAATTCTCAATGCAGGAAAAACCCTGATCATATCTGATTGGTTGGTCTGGCCGTATAAAAACTGGATACAGCCGGGAGAGCAGTTACTCTGCTATCATTTCCCCTTCATCACTACTCGGTTGATTTATACTCTGGTTACCAGCTTACTTTGCTCACACTCGGGGACTTAGCTCAGATGAGAATAACTTGGTTTTTGTTTTAGTTAATCCATGAGGTTTGATCTCTGGATCTGATAGATTTATTTTTGGCTTCTTGCAAGTTGCGGTTTTTGGAAATTATTTCCTGTCAATCGCTTGCAATCACCTTGCAGACGTAGCGATTAGCTAGTTACCTGCGTGTGTGTCAGTGTTAGCTAACTAACAAAAAACATTTTTAGCCACTCACTCACTGTGCTTTGATTTATCTCTCTCTCTCTCTCTCTCTCTGCACTGATTACTGGTTGTTAAACCTCACAATGCCACTGTTACAGGGCTGGTGTTGTCTCACGGTACTACTCCTCAGATCGACCCGAAACCCGGTACAGTTTTTAGCCGCTCAAGCGGTGCACCCCCAGCAATTAAAAACTGACATTGCCAAGTACATCTTAGCGTCCCATATAAATAGAAAATACATAAGTAGACTAAAAACATATACTGGATTAAGGCAGTCAGTGTAGGGTTTGAAATTAAATAAATTATGGGCTTGTGTATTATTAGATTCTCTGGTTTTAGTTTAGATAACATAAAACAGCATGTTATAGCTCACAGTCCTAATGAACCTCACAGAGTACACAGTAAGGAGTTGTGAAGTCTGGCATTTAGTGACCATTCAACATCTCTTATTGCCCCCTACAATCAAAGCAGACTAGAACCAGGCCTGGATGCACAAATCATCCTCACTTTGCATAACAGAGAGTCTCTCCACACGACCAGCATGCAGTGTCAGCTCAGGAGACTCCTCTAATAAAAGTACAGTACGTGGACGTATGAGCTGGGAGTAGCAGGAGGGTGCAGTTGTCCCCTCGGTGCGCAGACACTGATAAATATTGATGATATGTAAGCAGGCCTGTTGACATAGCAAGTGGTTGTGACACAAGTTACGGCTGGCAGTGAGCTGCGGAGAGCGGCACTCTTGGCACTCATCATTCTCGCCGAATGCTTGGAGTGCTGAGCTGTGCACCGAACCCGGTCGTCGCAGCAACACACATCAAAATCAATTTCTATTTGTGCCTGCGATGTAGACACTTTCTATACATGTAATGCATTTAAAACGTACAATATGTCTGCAGAGCATGTAGTCACTTTAATTTAGTTTCATGTTAAAATGCAGGAGAGTCATATTTAGTTGCTCCAGTCAAAAAAGTTACAGAAAATGCATTTAGTATGAATGAGAACAAATCGGAATGAATTCTACTTCATTTCATTGACATGCTGAAGGAATCAGAGAAGGCGAAAGTTCACAGGTCTGCGAAGGAAGAGCTCATCATTTTTTCATTCATTCACTCTTTATTTGGTGCCAATTTTAAAGGTGTCAGCAACACCAAGCCAGTGGTAGCAAAAAAATAAAATTTACAGTCATGATTATAATAAGAAACAGACCTTGAAACCAATAGCACTGCTATGGAAATACAAGATTAAAAAAAGGAAAAGGATGCAAAAGGCAACGAACCAGCAATAAATAACACCCCTGCCGCTTATAAATTATGCTTTTTGTTGTTGCCTAAACCCAACCACAGACAGGACTGTGGATACCAACCCCAGTCCCTGGTGTGACAGCTGTGGTCTTTGTACACCTGCCATCCACCCCAACCACCTGCTGGTGACTGGCTGCCATTAATAAATGTGGTGTTTCATGTGTTACTACCTTGTTCCCCACAGTATTGCTTTCTTCCTCTGTCCCAAGCTTGGAACTAGTTAGTATTTTATTAGCCCTGGAAATCACAGCATGTATTATAGTAGTAAGTGTTAAAACACCTCATTATCAGCTCATAATGAAGCACACTCACTGCCAAGCCATCCTAATTACCTATCACAATAATGTTAAGACAGTCAACTAACCCTCATAAGTGATAAACATTGAATTAAAGGGTCAATTCCTTAATTCCTGCTGTGTATCTTCAGTGCTTGCCGTACTCTGTACCAGAGACGTCGTCCACCAAGCGTAAACCCAGTCGAGCAAGTCAGTTTGTCAGAACATCGGATCTATTTCCATAATGTTGAGATCCACAAAGCAACTTGATCTAAGTCACCATGGAAACCGATCCCTTCAGAATAAGCTTCAAGTCCAGCTGCGCCTATACTTTTTCAACAAATTACTGTATTTGTAGCTTTTTTTTCTTTAAGAAAAATAAGTTTGTGATAAAACATAAAGCTGTTCAGATTACATTTTTCTGAAATGGAAGTTTGCTTTTTTTTCCCTCAAGTTACAAGAAATGCTACAAAAATACACTCTACACAAAAACAACCACACACTCATTCCCATAAGTGTCATATGTACAAACCTGGATTTATGTCTTACAAAACAATTATAATGACATGCAGTATGTATGTATGTATATATATATAGATATATAGATATATATAGATATATATAGATAGATAGATAGATACTTATCCCCTAGGAGAAATACATATATATATATACACACATATGTGCTATAAAGTAATAGCATTTAATAGGCGGTACAAGTCTATAGCTGACAGAATTAATATAATTATATTATTATATGATTATATATTAATATTATATTATATCTATAGGCTTATCCTCATGAGCAGTGTATCTACAAAGAGGCAGAACTGACACACCAGATTTAATCTGTGTTGCTCAAATCAAACGTATAATGATTAAATTATAATGTTACTGTTATTAAAACATTTTCAGTGATAAGCAGAAGTTATTATCATGCTGTTCCTATAGGGCAGTGAAGGCTCCTTGTGTGATCCGGCTCAGCAGCAGCAACCCCGAAGATGCAGCCTCTTCCACTCAAGGGAACAGCTTGTTTACAAAAGCACTGCCTCTCTGTGCCTTTGGTGTTGTTACGCTTTGATTCGATTTTTTATTGTTCAAAGAGGTCTATTATTGCCATCGGGGTTTATATCTCATCACAGAGAGACATCAAAGGGAGATGGAGCATTCTTGTGATTCTTTAGTGTGCCTTCTGGAGGAAACCAGCTCCATCTCTTGGGGAAGGGGGACTCCTGAAGATCCCCTTCCTCTATAAGCCAGTTTTTTTTTTTTTTGTTGTTTTGTCTTGTTTTTTTCTTTGCTTGTTTGGGATTATTACCGAAATTAAACCGAAGTAGCCACAGTACTCCAGCATCATGTGCCAACTGCATATTATGTTAAGCAGACTAATAGGATAGGCTAAATGGGAAGACACTGTTTTCCTACAGTGCAGTGCATGGTGCAAAAAAAACAAAAAAAAAAAACCTAAACAACAGTGAAGATGTTATGTAACAAAAACAGAAGCTGTCAGCTAAAAGAAATCAGCTTTCAGCATGAATCCTATAGAGGAGGAGAAAAGCACGAGGAAAGGCAATGTCAGTCAGTCCAAAACTTTTGTCCAGACTGAAATATCTTAGCAACTATTTCTTAAGGATTGCCGTGACATTTTCTACAAACATTCACAGCACCCCGGAGGATCAGTCTTATCTTCTAGCACCACCCGCAGGTCGACAGTCTCCAGAGGATTTATCCAAATGACTTTTCCCAGCGCCACCATCTGTGCTTTTGAGCGAAATGTCTCAACAATTGCATAATTTAGTACACAAACGACTGTTACTCTTCGGATGAATTATAATCTGTGGCTATTGCTAATTAGAAAACTTTAGCACAGTGGTTCCAAACCTGTAGGAAGTCCGTCCATCCGTCCGTCGTATTCTCATGAACGTAATACTTTTTCAAATTTAGCGCAAATGTTCATTGGACTCAAGGATGAACTGATGCTTTTGGGGGTCAAAGGTCAAAAGGTCAAGGTGACTGTGATCTCACAAAACACGTTTTCGGTCACAACTCACAAATTCATTCATGAATTACGACACACTTAAACTCAAATGTCTTTACAGGATAAAATGAGGAAGTGACATTTTATATCCAAATGGTCAAAGGTCAACTTCACTGTGACATCATAATGTTCTGCAAAAACACCTATGGCCATTATTTAATGCTGTTACTGAGGAAGGGGATATTGTGACTAGAGCCTGACCGATATACGGATATTAGGGAGTAAAAAAATTCCGCTGTCGATATATCGTCTGACATATGTTTATAAACACTTGTGAAAAAGATATGTAATGAAAGCAGGATATTTTACAGTTTAACAATGAACTTTATTGAACCGCAGCATTAGCATATCAACATGCAAAACTATGATTATGAACATGGTAAACATTACACCTCTTTAACAGGTCTGAAGTTTGTATTTACCTTGAAGCACCTTTGTGCCTACAGGTGCAGCCTCACAGAGCTGCTGTAGACTAGGATTGTTTGCTACCACTTGTCATCTATGTGTAATCAGTGCTCAAATAGTTTATGTGAAACTGGCACCAGGTTTGGAGTCCAGGTTTAAGTCCTCTGATCTAACATGCCGACTGCTATGAAACTTGCTCAGCACATTTATAGTCAGTGTTTAATTATCATTGCTGCCTCTGGGGGCTGTTAGGATTTAGTCTGCTTATTACTAGTGCACAGGTTTCCTAAGAGTACCATACTGAATGTGTTTTCTCCAAGGAGTGTAGTCGATGTAAGCCCACATGGCTCCACCTGTCCTTAATCATTCTGAATTTTCTTTATGTACATCAAAATCGGAGCTGACATTCTTCCTTGTTATGGGGTGAACACCTGAGGAAAGCATTATGCAAACACAAGACAGACGGGAAGATCAATAGACAAGTGAGAAAGAGAGCAGAGGGCTTAGGGTAGAGAGGAGCAATCAAACTCTAATTTGGTCCCCGACAAATGAAGTCAGCGTTACACCAGATTGAATGACATTAAATACAATAGCAGAAAGAACCAGTAAATGTGGACCTTCTTTCTCTGTTCTCCCAACATCTGAGTTCATCCCTGCCGCTGTTTATCAACCGTGTGGCAATAAATTAAATGAGAGCTTTATCTTTTATGAATATTTTTAATTTAAACATGACCTCATTCTTGACTCGTTGAATGTTTTCTTTGTCTTGCTACTGTCTATGGTAATCAAGCACTGAAAATAGAAGTGCACTTGGTGTAATGAGGACAGACTCCATCTGAGCATGTTGTAAAAAAGTTACTGAGATCAGATGCTCCTTGTGCCTCTGTGTGGCTGTCTCTTTCGAAAAAGCCTATAATCACAGTTAGACTTGAAGGTCCCATATTGTACAAAGTGAGGTTTACATGTCTTTTTTTTTTTTGATTATAGATCAGGTCTAGGTTCTATATTAATACTGTGAAAGTATCAAAGCCTCAGTCCACAGAGAAATGCACACAGCCTGTATTCAGAAACTGAGCCTTAAAACCAGCCGTCAGGACTTCTGTAACTTAGTGATGTCACAACAAAGCAGTCACCGCCCTCGGCCATGCCCCAAGCCCCGCCCACCTGGACCCACCATCCAACCTTGCAGGATTTGGTTACTCTGTGTGTTTACCTGAAATCTGCTACATTTTTATTCGATCACTCAGAAAACAGACAGCCAATCAGAGGCGAGACCTGCCTCACCAACCTGTTGTTACTGGAGCTCCAGAGAAAAGACTGAAACAGGTAAAAAGATTCAAAACTACATTGAGATTGTTTTTCGTGCTTAAAACCACAAATATATTTTCTCATGGATATCAACACTTCAAAATAAAACACTGGAGAAGTGAAAAATATGGGACCTTTAAGCTATTTTTCTGCACAGAGCATTTATTGGCAAACTCACACTTCTCCACCATCCCTTGTGGGAATGGGTTTCCAAATACTGGAGGAGGTGAGGTACAGTCCTGCCCAAAATTATTGGCACCCCTGTTTTTCAGAAATAGATACAAATTAACTAATTTTGTATAACTGGAATATTGTTGATGAAATGTCCGAAGTTACTGAGCAAAAGAGAAGAATAACTTGCATAATAATGAAATGATACAAACACAAAATGTGGCATCTTTTATTAATATTTGCTTGCAGCACCTTTGGCAACAACGAAAGCCTCTAAATTTTCTTGTAGCCATCTAGAAGCTTCTTGCACCTTTCTGTAGATGGGTTTTGTCACTTTTCCATTGCTATGTGTTCAAGCTCTTTAAGGTTTGCAGAACACCTTTTTGCAATGGCAGATTTCAGCTCCATCCAAAGGTTTTTCAATGTGATTCAGGACAGGACTCATCGCTGGCCAATTTAAAACAGTCCATCTTTCCCTTTTCAGCCAATCCTTTGTGCTGCTGGATGTGAGCATCGAATCATTGTCCTGCTGAAAGGCCCCGAGACCTTCACCTCAAACCGTGTTGTCTGATAGTGGGTAACACATTTCTCTCTCTAAAATGCCTTGGTAATCTTCTGATTTCATCTTTCCTTTGATACATTCTATGCCTCCAATACGAGAGGGAGTAAAGCAGGCCCAAAGCATGATAGAAACTCCACCATGTTTTACTGTAGGTAAAGTGTTCTTTATTTTATGAGCTTCATTTCATCACCTATAAATAAACATGCACTGCATTCCCAAAGAGCTCTACTTTGGTCTCATCCATCGAACATTACTGTCTATGAAAGTTTTGTAAATATTAGTATTGCTTTTTTTGAGCCTCCCTCTCAATAGTGGTGTCTTCCTTGGCCTTCGCCCATGCAGCCCTACTTGGTTCAGTGTGCGGTGTGAGGTACGGGCTGAAACCATCACTCTACATTGCTCCAGGTCAGCCTGAAGCTCTTTAGATGTCTTGCCTGATGTTTTTTTTTCCACAGTCTGCACCGACCTTCACAGACTTCGCTCATTGAATTTCTCCTTAGCGCTTAGCGCTTGCCTTGTAGCTTTTAGAATTGGAATATGTTCTTTGAACATCACCATAATGACATTTCTGATGCTGTCAGACAGATCTCTTTTCTTCGCCCTTGTGAAAAAAAATAAAGCTGGAAACAATCAGCCCCTTTTTTAATGCAGTAAAATCATCATTCATTGGTTAATTCATGTCATGTGAATGCTGAAATATCAGCACAGATGAGTCTGTTTTTTTTT